CTCTCTCTGGGCTCCACCATGTCCAAATAACCCAAACTAAAGCTCTGAGCCACATGCCAAACAATTTCCTTACGCCATGACCAACAGCATCATCTAGTTGAGCTTCTGTTGTGGGAAAGATCTAGTGATCCAGTTTGTATATATTTTCTCTGATCCTCACTACATCCCAGAGATATCCAGATGTTTCCACCTATCTGAAGCAACTGAGTCTCACTGAAGTTGAGTGACTTGCCTCTTCTCCACCATTTACAACTGGCCAAGTCAGGATTCTAGGATTCAAAGCCAAGTAGCCCCCATTCAGTCCCCGTAATTCCTGACAGTCTTCATTCTGTATATTTCCCAAACTTATTATCCTCTCTAAATTTCCTTTAAAAGAGAATAAAGGTTTATTTACTTATTCATGAGAGACACAGACTGAGAGAGAAAGAGAGGCAGAGACACAGGCAGTGGGAGAAGCAGGCTCCTCGCAGGGAACCCAGCGTGGGACTCGATCCCGGATTCCGGGATCACAACCTGAGCCAAAGGCAGGCGCTCAACCGCTAAGCCACCCAGGGGTCCCTCCTCTCTAAATTTCCATTGCCACCTTTACTCCTTTCTTTTTCTCATTCTGACATCCAATCCAGTAGCAAATCTGATTGGCCCTACATTTAAAATAAGCTGGGAATCTGAACACTTTTCCTATCTCCCCAGCAATCAGCTTAGTGTCCTGCAATAATGTAGTAGTTTCTTAATTTATCCGTCTTCTACCATTGCTCCTCACAGTCTGTCCTAAGCTGCCCACCTCTGAGTCAGATTTTATATGTTTTAGGTGTAGGTTGTATATGGATTATATTTTACTCATTTACTTAAACCCTCCAATGATTGTTCCTCCCATTTAGAGTGAAAACCAAAGTTTTACCACAGTCTAAAAGTCCCTACAGATCTGCACCCCCATCTTCCTATCCCAACCGTTGTGACTTCACCACCCATGTCCACCTCACTCTGGCCATATCACTTCCTTGCTGTTTTTCAGATACACTAAGTAATTTCCAATGAGTAGGGGGTTTTGTTTGTTTGTTTTGTTTTGTTTTGTTTTGGCAGCTTCCCTGGCCTGAGACCCCCTTTACAGGTGCCTTTATGGCCTTCTCCTATACTTATTTCAGTTCTCTGCTCAAATTCTTCTCTTTCTTATTTCCATTACTTTCTTAACCCCCACCCCATATTCTTCTTCTCCTTCATGGCACTTATATCCACCTGAAATCTCACATATGTGCTTGTTTAATTATTTATCTTGTATTATAAGCTCTGTGACAACAGTTTTTTTCTTATGGTCAATTGCTGTGTCCCCAGGTCTAGAACCTTGCCTGGCAGATAAGAACATTTAGTGAATATTTTGAAAAGCATAAATCAATGAGCACTATCTTAATTCATGTTCAAATTATTTCTGGCTTGGAGTGGAATAATTGTATTGGCCTTGCTGACTCCAGTTTCATATTCTCCAGCTTGCTGACTAAATGATATTTTAGCTTTAGCCTCTACTTAGAATCCTTTAATTAATTCCCACTACTTGCAGAAGATGCTTCCAGTTTCTTCTTCTGATTACCGAGATCATCAGGGTTTAGCTTCAATTTTAGCTTCTTTTTCAAGTTATTTCCCTTATTTAAATTTATTTCAATTTGTTGCTCTAATAATCTGTTTCTTCAGCCTTTATAAACTGTTTTCAGTTCCCCACATGAGCCTTGCTTGTCATACCTCTGTACTTTTGCACATTCTCTTCCCTCTCCATGGGATATCATTCCCCACCTTATGACATGAGAACACCCATACATCCAGGAAGACTTGATTGCATTCTCATCTGTTCCTTCTCCTAGCATTATGTTCATGGCATTGAAAATATTTCTTTTTATTTTTTTATTTTTTATTTTTTATTTTTTTATTTTTTTGAAAATATTTCTTTTTAGTACCGGACTCCACAGGGCAGGACAGAATGCTTTGTCGTTCTGTTGCTAACTGAAGTGACAGGCACATTGCATGTGATTGATAAATATTAACTGAAGATTTTTGTGTAGAATTCTAATGTTATTTCTCAAGATTCTTTGTTAAATGTGTTGTTTCACTTCACTTTAAAATAAAATCAGTTTACTGCTGCCATAGAGAAAGAATAAATATTTTCCTATTCTTTGGCATGTGAATTAATACTAATTTGAAGTAGGTTGAAGGGTTGGCTAAGAACTTCAGGTGGAAAGAAAGAAAAGGAAGCATCCCTGTTGCACTCTTTGAATTCTTTCTTGTTCTCCAGTAATTCTAAAATGACCATGAATGTCCTCGCATTTGACTGATTTATGCAAAACATTAGTTTCAAGTTTCTTAATGACTACATTTAAGTTTTGTTTTTTTTTTAAGATTTTATTTACTTATTCATGAGAGAGAAAGACAGGCAGAGACACAAGCAGAGGGAGAAGCAGGCTCCATTTAAGTTCATGAAAATGTGATGTGTAGGTAGTCACTTTCACAAATGTGACATCAGCTGCTTCTACTGACATTTAATCCTCTACCTGACCCTCATTCAACAATCTTTTGGGTTGTTCTCATCCCAGTTCCTATGTGGAGCTTCTACGACTTCTTAATTCAGTGTCATTGTCAATGAAGTCAATGACTTCAGCGTTTTGCTCAACTTCCTTTCATTTCTCCAGCTTGCTGCTGCTGTGATTTCCCCATGGTGACCATGTAAATGAACTTGAACTTGAGAGTTCAGCACTGGTGAACTGAACTGAGAACCTCCTTTATATTCTCAGAGGTTTTTATTTCTTAAAAACAGTGTCAGCCAGGCAAATGTCAACTCACATATCTTTCTTTATTTGAAGTTTGAGTCTTTAATAATGGTCTGTCCTTGGGGTCGTAAAGACTATGAACCCAGACTGTGTGGGTTTAAGTCCTGGAAACCACTACTTAGTTCTGTGACCTTGGGAAACCTGCTTGAGACACTGATGTCAATGTGTCAGTTTCCTTCTGTAAGATGGGGTTCATAATACTAGTATCCCCTAAAAGGATGATGTGAGGATTGCACAAGTTAATGTTTGTGAATTGCAAAGAATGGTTCCTGGCACATAATGAAAGCTGATATTAGCCCTTCGACCTAGTCCCTGTGCTGAACACTGAAATGAGACAGTGAATAAGACACTATGTCCTCTGTGCTCACGGAAGTCACATTCCAGTGAGGTACAGACATTGAACAAATAAACCTGAATAAATACCTAATTGCATTTTATGATACAGCCCATGAATAATTTAAAAAAGGAGGGGGTGGGAGGCATAAAAGAATACTTAAGGTAGAAGTCTCTGAAAAAGTAGCTGTAAGGAACCTAAAAGATGAGAAGGAGTCAGCCATGGAGAAGAGAACATTCCAGGCTCAGGGAACAGCATAAATCAAGATCTGTAGGTGGGAAGGAGCCTGAGTATTAGGGGAGGTAAGAAGGCAAGTAGAGCCAGAGCATAGTGAGAAAGAAGGGAGGCAGATGAAGTTAGCAAATTGATGGGCCTTTCAGCCATGCAAGGAATTTATTTTGAATCTACATTCAATGGGAGGCAAATGAAGAATTTAGTATCAGTTGTTTATTACATGAAGTTTAGAGAAGGCTCCAGGTAAAAGAAAACAGGGGGTACATTATAATTCTTTGTTTATTTATGGTACCAAATTTGAATTATACTTACAAAACGATTGGAAAATGGTAGAAGTTTTTTGTTTCACTTGAAATAACTTCTTATAGTACCATCTCCAATTTCGCCTGTAGTTGATTCACATGCTTTGGTAAACCTACATTGCTCCAGGACTTTTCCTATCTATCAAACATCTATCTTTCTTCTTTAAGGGCAATAGATTATTTATGGAATGACTACTCTTCCCTAATGTTCTTAGATTATTAAAGGAGACAGACATAAAAAAAAATCACCCAATAATTAATTATATTCAAGGTAAGTATAATAAAGAAAAAGAAAAATCCCCCCCTACTATGAAAGCATTTTAACAGAGGACTTCTGGAAGACAGATCATATAGGCTTCCCCAAGAATCACTAAGAGGAAGCTACATCATGAAGAAGTGGAAGGTACTGAGGCACGGAAGACCTTACAACTTCTGTGTTAATTTAATATATATTTTTTAAGATTTTATTTATTAATTAATGAGAGATACAGAAGATACAGAGAGAGAGAGAGAGAGAGCAGAGACACAGCAGAGGAGAAGCAGGCTTTCATGCAGGGAGCCCGACGTGGGACCGAAACTGGGTCCTCCAGGATACCCCTGGGCCGAAGGTGGTGCTAAACCACGAGCCAACGCTGGGCAGCCCAATATTTTTTAATTATTAGACTGTTCATGTTTGTGTTGCCAGTGGCGATGTATCTGAGCTTTTATGAATCACAATTTGATGCCTTAGTAAATTGAGTGAATATAATAAGACATAAAGAATTGGAATTGTGGGTATAAAACTTCACCTAGGATGCTTAAAGCATGGTTTTATTTTTTACATCACAAAATGGACAAAATTGAAGGGATCACTGGTGAGATGTGTCTTGTGCTATTTATGTCATAAGTACAGCTGCCCCTGTGCCATCTAGGGATTTTTTTTAAGAGTTTTAATATGAAAATGTCAGTACACTCCATCATGAAGAAAGATATTGTTTCCCAAGAGTTGTTTCTCTAGACATGTTTAAATACAGTAGTGGAGGGGAAGACAGAGTGGTTACGGTATAAAGGACACACGCATTAAATGCAAGCGGCTTTTGGTAACTATAATTAATTTTCTTTACCCTTTAGTTGGGATGTTAAATTCCATTTATTTCAAGCAATTTTTGCTCTTATGCCCATCAAGACATACTAGGAATAGTATGTCTAGGAATAGTATGTCATACTAAGAATTCCTATTCCATAATAGGAATATGCATAATGTATATTGTATAAATGATAAATTGGCATATCTTCAGATTTTTCAGTATAATATAATTGGTATCTTTGGATCTTTTCTAGGTGTGTGACTTGGCTTTTAGCCTAAAGAAAATGTTGATCCGACACAAGATGACTCACAATCCCAATCGTCCACTGGCAGAATGCCAGTTTTGCCATAAGAAGTTTACAAGGAATGACTACCTCAAAGTGCACATGGACAATATCCACGGTGAAGCTGACAGCTAATGGTAGCTGTAAAGGAATTAAACCATTTAGAAGGGCTCCTAATATGAAACCCAGATTTCTCTCACCTGATTAGCATAGCAGAAGTATCTAAAAGTAATTCACTGGTCTCATAGTTCTTATTTGCCTATCTTTAGAGTTTGTAGATGCTTATGCAAAAAAAAAATTAAAAAATAAGAAGAAGAAAGAAGGAAAGTAAGTCCTACTTTACCAAAAAAATGGTACAAATGGAAAAAAAATTCATAGCCTTGCAAAATATTACTTGTGCTCTGTTTTATAAAATAGAAAAAAGAGTCATGGCTTTCCTTCTTGGCCACCTCTCTGTAATGAAGTTTATTAATAAGCTCTTTATTAGGCCTTTTTACTTTTTTGTCATCTTTGTGTGTGTGTGTGCATGCATGCACATGCTGGACATTACAATTGATTATTACTTATTTAGCCAGAAAGAAATTAATATACCAAAATATGTCATTGCAGATGAGGTAAGATCAAGAGTTTTTAAAATATTAAGCATGATAACACGATAAAACTTGCTATTTTATGAAACAGACCAAAAGTTAATCTTATTTATAGCTCCCCACAACAGTTCAGTTTAAAATAAAGAGCTGTTTAAGAAGCATCTATTGAATTGTTGCTCATTTTAGACAATTCTTAAGAAACATTTCCTCTCATCATTCAGATGCAGACATTCATGGCCTGCAATACTTTCACAAGATCTATACAAGACCATACACTTAAATATATATCAAACTGATCATATTGAGTTTTTACTAGTTATCTTTAGGAATTAACAATATACAAATATATGTAACTAAAAATTAAAACAAAATTGGTTCTCAATATTTTTTGATTGACAGAGTGTCTGCACATAGTGGCATTACAATACTAATTATGATGAGCCCTTTACCTTCTCATTCCATAAAAGTGCACAGGACATGTTGATGCAGATATAATAGAGTCCTCAGAGCATTAACATTCTGTTTTGCAAAAGACATTTCCCAGAATCTTGGCAATAGATGATTCTGAAACACTTTTGAATTACCCTCAATTGTCCTATATAATTAAGAATCCAGAATAAAAAGTACAAATCTGGCAATTGTTATGATTGAAATGATCACTGATGCTTAAGGGAAATGGAAGCAAGAAGCTTAATTTCTTCCTTTAGGTTATATTTCAATAACATACTTGAGAGCAGCACATAATGAGCAACTTGTTTTGGGAGAAGGTATGATAAAATATAATAGTGATGTCAAAATAGCATAAAGAAATCCAAAAACCAGAAGAAAATCCAACTGAAGTCCAAATCATGAAGTTTTCTACTTAGAGGTCAGTCAAATAAAGGAAGTATAATTTAAAGGAAGTTGGTCCTAATGATTTAAGTAAGAAGAAAGGTTATCTGAAGACACAGTTCTTTGAAGTCAGGAATCTTATTTTAGAATTATATTTTTGTTCAGTTCCAGTTTTAAAAAGAAACCTAAAGATTCAATATAGAGATTTAAACTCTGTAAAAATAATAAATTTGAAATTCATCAGAGATAACTTTAAAAAAGATAAATCTCAGATTATAATTTAGAAGATATCTAAATATGGTTGTATGTAGCATTTTTATATCTGAAATTATAGACTATATTTTATAAAAATAGATTTTGGTCTTGTTTCTCACTATGTCATTTGTTTCAACAGTATGTTTTTAGATCGAAAATGTTTTCAATTTAATGTGACAGTGTGCATAATATCATTTGAATATAAAAGGACTGTAAAATTTGGTAGTGTGTATTATTTAAACACGTTCTGCTCGTTCCTTTGAATGCCACCTCCTCTCTGTGGGATGCTTCATATCCCGATTATGTGATGAATGTGAAATTTAAAAGGAAGCCAAATCCAATTTTGTATAATCTCAGTGACCCACAGTTTACAGGTCTGGTGTAATTGGAAATTACCCTTGAAACCATGTTGTCATCATGTTGCAGAATAAACTGATGAGGAAGAGGTGCGAGGCCTTATCAGGCTAAAGTTTCATAGTCAAAGAACCTTTAGAAAGTGGTGTGGAAAGACCTACTGGTCCATGATATTTTCTTTTCAAAGCATTGAAACCAAAACAAGTCCTTAGAAGACTATGTGCTGTTACCTTTATCCAAAAGGTGATTATTTAAAAACATTTCAGATATATTAGTATTCACATTCTACAATCTTTAAATCATTCAGCAATGTCAAAAAATGAGAATTGATTTTTTAAAGTTCAATTGAGAAATTATAACATAGTCACTGAGGCAAAGTCCTATTGGCAAATTGAAGTATAGGTACCCACTTTGAAGTATATTTCTCTGCTTTTCTGCTATAAAAGATTATGGCTCAAGTACTTTCTTGGGAACAGGCTAAGCTCTCAGATACTCATGAAGTCAGGGCTATGTTACTTTTAAGAGGTATTCAATAGTATGGGTAGGTTCAGGTAGCCTCTTCTAATTATCTTTGTGTATTAACATTCAAGATATTCATATATTTTGAATTCCTTCTTGTCTTACAATCACAAGCTTATATTATTTTCAATCTTGTTTCTTCTTTTTTTGGGGGGGGTGTTGTTTTTGGCTAGATGAGAAACTTTATTGGTTAATCAGGATCAACAGTTGCAGGGTAAAAGTATTCATTGGTGATTCATTCTTAGAGTTATACAGGATAGTTAAATGCTGCTTTTTAAAAAAGCTTTTATATATTTATTTTTGAGAGAGAGCACACGCACGAGCAGAAGGGAGGGGCAGAGGAAGAGGGAGAAGCAGACTCCCTGTGATATGGGACTCCATACCAGGATCCTGGAATCATGACCTGAGCTGAAGGCAGACACTTAACGTACTGAGCAACCCTGACACCCCTAAAATGCTACTTCTAAGAAACATACTTCTTATATCATGTGTGTGTGTAAGTCTGCAGAGGATCACTTTTATTCAGTGCTTTAGGACACAAGTACCTTACTTTGCTCAAATTCTTCTGACCTGTTGCAGCTAACTCATTGGGTAAGTATGAATGTGGATCACAGGTCTTACAAACCTTAATCTGTGCATGAAATTTTATATGCCTCTGTGTTTCCCAAAGCTGGAAAGGAAGGAAGGAAAGAAGATAGATACTGGAAATATTCAATTGTTTCTTTCACAAATCTAAACATTACTTGTGAAAATTCATCTTGGGGCTTGTGAATATAGAGATGAGTGGGTTAGGAGGAAATGTGCCTCTTTAAAACCATAAGATTTTATCATTAATATTGAGGGGTATTTTCATGTATATAAATGTAGCATTGTAAATATAGCAAAACTTCAATAGGATTCTAGTTTTTTAATAAATCTATAATAAATCTGTATAAATTATTGCTGCAGTTGGTGTTAGCATTGTATTTTACTATAAAACTAATTAGCACAGTATAGTAAAATCCAAATGAACTTTTTAAATTTGGTTTTGATAAAGAAGAAAATATAATTTCTCTTACTCCCAGTCCTCATGCTTTTATAGTTTACTTCTAAGCATTTCTAAATCTGGAAGATATCTCTAAAGTTAAGCAAGTTGGTCTCAGGGCAATAAGAGAAAACAACTTGCTTACATCTCATTGTCATACATAAACAATATGTGAAAAAGAACATCACTTAAAACCAAAGAAATCTGATTTATAGAACCATCTCTGAGCAAAAATCTCCTGAAGTTCACAAATACAATGTAAGGGTGATAAAACGTACAGCTAATGTTTTAGGTATCCTTTTCTCAAAAGTGCTTCATTATCTTAATGTTGCCCCAATCTTTCCTGATACAAAAAATCATCATCATCATCATCATCATCATCATCATCATCATCATCACCATCTGTCTCCAGGGAGTGGATTTGGAGATGATACATTCATTTAAATTTGATCTCTCAAAATCAACTAAGGTACTAGTTCTTTGGAGCTGACTCACATAGCTTTGACTACCTTAGGCTCAAAACTGTGTTATCACCCCCCAGGTTGTTAATTTGTTGTATGACAAAATATAAAACTAACTCTGGAGCCCTCAGCATAGGGCTCCATGTCAGAATATTCTAAATTCCCTATGCTCATGAAATAGTACAGAGTGTAATAGCTGTCTTATACTAATGGTGCTTCTGATCGAATGTTCAAACCTTTAAAAAAATGCTTAACAAACTACTGTAAAACAAATGTTTGTATTTGTTACAAAACCGTCTCCCTAAATATTTAATGGCAAATTTAATTGACTAATCCTGTAAACATTTAGGCAGTTAGAATAAGATGTTATTCCTTGGGCCCATGCCACCCTGACATATTACATAGCAGAGGGAAACTAAGATTTTAAGTAATGTTGATAATTTATATGCTGAAAATTGAGAAAGAATGTGGGGCCACTGAAACTTGATTATCTAAATTAATGTAAGGGAGTTCATATGCAATATCACTGTTCTGACAAGAAATGCTATAAATTTACTAGGAATTAATTCCACTTAGAAAACGCACACCAGAAAATCCATTTGCCTTTACAAAATAGTATAAAAAATGAAAAGAATCCTGGCTCACAAGGAGACATTTGAAAGATTCCATTACTTCATTTTTAAATTTTGTCTTCTTGGAGAATATCAAATAATGCTCTTTTCTTTAAAGTTAATTTTGTCTGACATCTTTTGCATAATGTTTGGCTAGTGTACCTCCCCCCCCCCATTCTTCTATTCAAATCTGTTCTGTGAGTATATGTAAATTTTAGATGTGTTTCTAATAAACAACCTACGAAAGGATTTTATATTTTTATCCTGTCTGACAATGTTGTGTGATTTTTAGGCTCTGATGATGAATTTGGCTTGCCTTTCCCACAGTCTCATGTAGCCTCCATTTGGATGACTGACTGGGCTTATACTGGAGTCTGTACTCAGAGAGAAATATGCTCCTTACACCCAACATATGAAATTCATCATCACCAACGTGTAAATCTGATAAATGCCTGACACTGTAGGCATAATCCAAGACCCTCCTTTGTATGGTTCTCACTGACCCACGGTAGCTACTGGTGCACAGCTTAAAGTGAGAGAGATTCCTTGAAAAATATTTCAGGGGCTTTGATAGCATGGATGCAAGTATAACTGCTGAAATCTGAACAAATACACTACTCTTAGTGGGATTTCGTTGTTGAAACAATATATCTTCTGTTCATTCTTTAATATTTGATAAAGCAACCCATAAAAAAGGGACGTGCATTGGCTTCCAAGTCCATCTGTCCATTTGTCTATCATCTATCTATCTATCTATCTATCTATCTATCTATCTATCTTATCTTTTTCCTTTCTAAAGTAAAAGTAAGTGTTAGCCAGCATCTAGAAAGTTGAAATTGCCTTTGATGAAAAGAGGGTCTGAAATTAACATCTATGACATTGAAGCAAAATATATAGTTCCTATGTTAAGTGGGAATTTAAAAGTATGGTAGTGAGGAGCAACATCACTTGATTCTAAGACTTTTATTTGAAGTGGCATTCTGATGAGTCTTCTATGGAATACTACGTATAGTAAATAAGACTTCTGAAAATTAAATTTTGTGAAAATTAACCAGTCACTACTTTTGACAGCCGTAAGTCTAGTTTTATTATCGAAATCTAAGAAATCCTTTCCTGACTCACATTTTTGGTAATCAGGTTTATCTCACTAGGTGAAATAATCATTTACAGCTCATCTGCTGCTGGGCAAATAGAGCACAGGGCATACTCCAGAAAATGAAATAAAATAGAGCAGTGTCAGGCACAACAAACACACTACGTGTCCCCTTCAGCCTTTTCTGCTCTTTTCACATAAAATTCATTTCTTACACTGTTGAGCTGCTGCATAGCCAGTGTATTCTCCAGTTTCACCTTCAGCTGGGCTTTGAGAGTGACAAGTTGGTATTGCTCCCGGACTCAAATTATGATATTTAGGATATTAAGTTGCATCCTTTCTGCTCTGATTATAAAATACGAAATTGAGGCAGATGAGTTTAGTTGATTAGTGTATTATTAGACTAATTTGCAAGTTGAGCCAATTAGCTTTATACTGATAAAAACTATTTTATACACTTCATCATGCCAATTCAATAAAGGACATGGAGCTTGTGGCTTACTACAGATCCTGAGAAAGAGAGTGGCAGGCACAAAGTCATGGGATTATTAAAAGAGGAATTCTATGTGTATGTCCCATAGACACGAATACAATACTCTACTAAAACGGGATATGTTAGAATTAAAATTTCAGGTAACAGTATTGCAATGTAGGAATTCATGTGTCTTTCCTAAGATTTATATAGCATTCAGATTAAACCCCCATCTCCTGACTTCTCTTTCTCTCTTCTCTGACTGGAAATCAATCACATCACACATACAACACCAAATCTGAGTCTGAATTTGATATATGTTAATTTCCTTAACAGTGGAATGGATTTAATAGCATCTACTTGTTGGCTTTGTTGTAAGAAATAAATCAGAAAATGCATTCTGCAAAGGATACCTGGCATATAGCTGGGGTCCAAGAAATAATATTGCCCCAGTGTTCCACCAAGTAATTTCCTTGTCATCTTGTATATGCTATCAGGAACTTACACTACTCTGCAATATTCCAGCTCATACCTTCAAGCAAACCTGTCACAAGCCAAATTAGATAATATGTAAATTGTATATCATTGGTATAATTACACTGATAGAAGCATTTCATTTGGGAATGTTTTCAAAAATTTTTACATAATGTATCAGTTTAGCACATTCTGCTCTAACAAAATTACCTATTTTAACTCAAGCATATATATAAGATAGTTTCGTTAATGCCTAAATTATCAGGTGTTTTTTTATTGTGCTAAAACCATATCTTGTTCTTATCTTAAAATGTAATCTAATCAATAATTCTGATTTTATAAAACTTGAGCTGCCTCTTCATTAACAAAGTAGAAGTACCCAAATGTTCAAATAGGGAACAGCCTTATTTTTTTTATAAATTTATTTTTTTATTGGAGTTCAATTTGCCAACATATAGAATAACACCCAGTGCTCATCCCGTCAAGAGCCCCCCTCAGTGCCTGTCACCCAGTCACCCCCACCCCCCGCCCACCTCCCCTTCCACCAACCCTTGTTCGTTTCCCAGAGTTAGGAGTCTCATGTTCTGTCTTCCTTTCTGATATTTCCCACTCATTTTTTCTCCTTTCCCCTTTATTCCCTTTCACTATTTTTTATATTACCCAAATGAATGAAACCATATAATGTTTGTCCTTCTCCAATTGACTTACTTCACTCAGCATAATACCCTCCAGTTCCATCCACGTCGAAGTATTTGTCATTTCTAATGGCTGAGTAATATTCCA